TGAAGTTGGGTATGGTGCTTATCCTCGAAAACGTACTCAGGTGTCATCACAGGAAGACGTCGATCGACGTTTTTCATCTTAAGGTTGTTGATGACATTGATACCTTCGACAGCTATCCTTGGGGGCAGAGATATTTTGCGGATACCCTACGACACTTCCGAAGGGGTTATTTGATGCCTAAGGGGGTAGACCCGAGCGCAAGTATGATGCATATGGCCTACTTTTGGCTTTGTAGGTAAATGTTCAACACAATGAATTATCTAATTAAATTTTATATATAATAATTGTAACTATTGCAAATATGGTTGTACGATACTGTCCCCATATTGGTTGTCCGGTATACGAGGAGAGTGGAGACGTGCTACCCTCAGATTTATCAATGGCGAGCAGAAGACAGGCTACTTGAAAAACAAATATCTGCTCTCCTCGACGATCCTGAGGTTGAACTGAGTTGACACAGTCGATGGAGGATGAGAGTCGATGTTACATGTTTGGCCTGTCTATTCCGATCACGCCAGATGATCAGATGCTCGCGTCCATCGGTGATCAATATAGGGTATGTTCGTTGAATGTAATATGTTGATTATCGTTTTTATTTTTTAATTAAGTTATTAATTCGTGATGTTGATTTTTTAGGAGTGTCGTCCAGTACCACTTTCACAGCCGATACTACCTCTGTCGTCGAGATCACTTTCGCCGTCGAGGGCCTCACCGTCGCCACCGAGGGCTTCACCACCGCCACCGAGTGCATCACCGACGCCATGGCCCTCACCATCGCCGTCGAGGTATATATCTTCATCAACGATTAATATATACGGTGAGCCCATATATCTTCATCAAAGTAATTATTACAAGCTCATAAATTACTAAGTATGACAAGCTCATACATCTTCATCAACGGTTAATATATATGGTAAGCCCATAGATCTCCATCAAAGTAATTATGACAAGCTCATAAATTACTAAGTATGACAAGCTCATACATCTTCATCGACAGTTAATATATATGGTAGAGCCCATATATCTCCATCAAAGTAATTATGACAAGCTCATAAATTACTAAGTATGACAAGCTCATACATCTTCATCAACGGGTAATAGATATGGTGAGCCCATATATTTTCATCAAAGTAATTATGACAAGCTCATAAATTACTAAGTATGACAAGCTCATACATCTTCATCAATGGTTAATATATATGGCGAGCCCATATCTTCATCAACGGTTAATATATATGGTGAGCCCATATCTCCATCAAATTAATTATGACAAACTCATAATTTACTAAAGTATGATGGGCTCTTCCCTTACATAAAAAGGCCTCGGCCAAGGTAAATTCAGCCTCATCTAAGGCTGTCTTTTCCCGGATGGGTTCTCCCATGTATAAAGGGTCTCGACCAAGGTAAAATCAGCCTCATCTAAGGCTGCCTCTTCCCGGATGGGTTCTCCCATGTATAAAAGGCCTCGGCCAAGGTAAATTCAGCCTCATCTAAGGCTGCCTCTTCCCGAATGGGCTCTCCCATGTATAAAAGGCCTCGGGCAAGATAAATTCAGCCTCATCTAAGGGTGCCTATTCCCGGATGTGTTCTCCCATGTATAAAAGGCCTCGGCCAAGGTAAATTCAGCCTCATAAGGCTGCACCCATATATTATGTGGCATTTTCAGATAGAGAGGATCCCACATTGATCGACTTAACTATTTATGCTTCAAAGTCCGACTGCACATGAATGTACGACTTAAACTTGGGGGATTGATGTTACTCATATAAATAATCATACAATAAATACACGTGGCAAATAGACAAGTTCCAACAAAGTCCTAAATATAGCCAAGTGACAAACTACACAGCAAGTGAACCTAGATCCGTCCCACATCATTCTGCCCATATGGAAATTTGGTCGAGCCGCTATTGGCCGAACCCCTATTTTGTCGAACCTCTTTTGGTCGAGTCACTATTGGTCGAAACCCTGGTCGAACCTCTATTGTCCGAACCCTTATGAAGAGCTGAGCCCCAATGGATGACATGAAATATGCAGAGGCATGTTGGAGAAGATCTTCATACTAGATCTTGTATCAAGTGGGTGATGTGACAACTCACTATATATGTAGCTCCACTCAATGAAACAAGTCAAGTCTAGTCTTACATATCAGGCCTAGGGCTGCCAAGCCGTCACAGCATTAAATATGAAATGGCCTATGAATGATTGATTGATGAATATGACAAGAGTTTCCGGCTGTGTGGATTAGGCCACGTGCCCCCTCATCTAACGGCTCTTAAGCACCATCTTCTACTATAAAAACATACACTTAGCACCATTTGAGGATAATGCAAATTTATACACACAAAGAAAGCTTTGGCATTCTCTCTACTGAGAAGATTTATTTCTCGGGCCGACCCCCTTTTACCAGAGATAATCACACTATAACTAAAGAAACACTTGGAACTCTTCTCTTCTGTTGGACCATTTTTTGGGGTCAATAGATTCCACAAATATGTATATTTAATGGAAAACCAAAATGATAAACAGGAGGGAAAGAAAGAGAGAGAGTGGGAAACTTTTTTTTAGTAATTCTCCAAGTACAAGGAATATTTCATACTTCATAGGGTCTTTACCGACCCCCTCACTGTAGCCGAGACCCCACCTCTGAATAAAAAAAAATTGTAGCCCCACCCCCCTAAATGTGTGTGCCTGGCAGGGGCTGTAAGTCAGGCCCTGTACCTGAAGCACGGCTCAATTTTTTTTGGCCATCTTTATTGTTTTCAAGTACATAAACGTATGATATTGTATCCTAGTCTACCGGGATTTGAAAACAACGTCTTCACCATCTGTAAATGGATAATCTCTCATCGATAATAGCCGATCACGACTTAAGAAGAATGTAAAATCTTGTGTGATATTCATGTAATAATCAAAAAATAAATAAGATTATTCAATAGTGAATTTCTAGAAATACAAATTTATTGTCAAGAAAGCACAAACATTGTCGAAAGATAAATATTTTACAAAGTAACAATAAAATACTGAACATGATCACTCACGAGCAAGATAAAGATAACAAGCTAAAATTACATGAAATTCTCGAAAAACATGACTTACACTAAATCGTATTACATACGTGTAATACTATTACACACGTGTAATACGGCACCATTTATTGATGCAAAGCACTCTAATGTCCACAATTTTGACAAGCAGAACGAGAAGTATTCAAGAAGTCCGCCTCGATAAATCTCCTCATTTTGGTTATTTGAAGTAACCCCCTGACACACAAGACATTTAGAGAAACAAGATTAAATATATCAAAGCTTTAGTATTATGACACTAATCATCAATGAGTGCTATAAATTTAAATTCGAACACATACATGAAGAATTAGCAGTTATTAATTTTGTAATAGATGTTTATCTCATTATATAAATACATGCATGATGCATACTCTTGCAAAATAATCTTAACATCTTGAATTATGTATGACTTTTGTTCAAAAACACTTATCCCATCCTTTTGTATTTGGTAATCTTAATTGGATATGAAAAGTACAAATTTTGTAACACGTCCCTCAATTATATTCAATATCATATACTCCAACTCAATAAATTATTAAGCTTTGTGTTTGAATTGTGAATTTGAATATTTTGGATTATTTTAAATTTATATCTCAACAATATTGTACAGAAAAGAAAAGAGTATTTTCAATATTTTATTGTAAGGAAAGAAGAAAACAAGGAAGAAACAGTATAAACCATAATAATAAAAACTAGAAAAAGCACACTAACCAGTAACCTCTTGAATAGTGGTCTGACTTCAAGGCTCCACCATTATTTCACGTAGTCTCTCAGGAACATTTAAGTCTTTTTGGTTGCACACAAACTTGTAAAGCTTTGGCATCCCAGTTTGATCCACAATCAACTCCGGAATTTCTGATTTTTCAATTGCCAACACTTGAAGCTCTGGAAAGCTGTTTACTCCTGAGAAATCCAGCGTGATTGACTGGCTGTATATACAACCAGCCACTTCAAGGATCTCTAATCTGGTTAGTTCCTTTAGTACCTTCATTGGATCCTCAGTGAATTTCATGAACCAAAGTCTAAGGTAGATAAGGTTTGGAGGGAATTCAATGGTGTCAAGCTTGAATGGAAAATTAGGTTCAGCCGTCAGAAACAACTTAGACAGATGGCCATAGTTGGACAAAGAAATCGAACATCTCTGAGTAAACTCCAACCGCAATTCTTGGAGCTTCTCTGATATGGGTGCTTTACCAGATATTACATTTATATGTTGGTCATTAATCTCATATAAACGCAGCTCTCTCAAGTTGGATAGTTTTTGTAATGAGCTAGCTTTCAAAATGGTACCAGGCACCCAATGTAAAATTTCTATGTTCCGTAAATACACCTCATTTCTGACATTCAAATTTGTGCATTTGTCAGACTCAAACATTTTACCGTAGCCTAAGAGTAAATGCTTCAAATGCTTCATCCTGAAAATAGTTCTTGGCAAACCACAATTAAAATCTGCTCGTCGAATATCCAATGTCACCAATTTCTTGAGATTCCTTATGGTTGAAGGCATCCTTTCAAATCTCCCACTCAACTTAAGGAAAGTCAACCTACTCAGATCTCCAATTTCATTAGGAATCAAAGACCATCCTTCTCCTGAGTTACAAAAACAGAACAAGGTACGAAGTTTTGGAGTCGCAGAATTTGAAAAAGAAAATTGACTAGTGTCGTCAATGGTAAGTCTACGAAGCATTGAAAATGAATTAGTGTGTATATTATGGTGTGTACCAAAGAAGTTGTTCTCGTTGGACATTTCGATGCAAAAAATACGTAGAAGATCATGAATGCGACAACTTCTTACGCTTCCATCCAAATTTCTCGTAGAAACTTGGATTAAATTTCTGTCACTTAACATCTCTAATTTAACAGCCACAATGTCATAAGGATTTTGATTTACGTTAAACTGGATCAATTTCTCGGAAACCCAAGCCAAGACCAACTCATCACAAGAAATTTCTTCATCTTCGTGGAAGAGCCCAAAGTAAAGGAAAAAAGGCCTCAAGTCAGGAGGTAAATCATTGTAACTCAGAGACAAGATTTTTGAACAATTATTTTCAGAACTAGTGCTCAAGATGTCAAGCACCTCATTCCATGCATGTTTATTCCTTCTTCTCTGCCGCAACATACCCACCGCAACCACAATTGCCAATGGCAACCCACCACACCTTTCTACAATCTTCATAGCGGTATATTACAATTCTATTGGAGGAAATCTCTCATTTGTATTTTTTGAAG